TAAAAATGCTTACGCCTTCCCCATTTGGTCTGCAATCGCTTCCGCCCAAATGGAAAGAATCTACCTGTTTGAGCAGAAACTTCTTAGGGATTGCACCAACTATAAGTGCAAGCTTAACGACAAGCACTTCTCCATCTCTGTCCTTTACGACAATGTCAAGATCACTTGCATTGACGAATACCTTCTGACACTCGCTCGTAGGTACCTCACCCGGCTCCACAACCTCCCTCCTGACGTCTCTATTCCTATAACCCTTCCTGAAGATCTTGTTCTCGCCTTGCGCTTTAAACCTTCCCAATATCTGTCCCACTACCTCAATAAGTGGGACCGTAACCTCCACTCCATTCCTCTATATAAGCGCAGCTTTCGTTACCCCAGTCACAAAGTTTACCGCTAACCACACCCCCGTTAGTCTGCTCTAACCTCACCCCCTTATTCATAACCCAATTTCTCTAATGTACGCCCTTACTTTCTGGCTTAGATAAATCTAACTCGTTAGGTACTAAGTCTATTTTTTCTCTTCTCTCTCCTCTGATTACTGGAATGAAGTTTTCACAATGCTGTGGAAATCTTATCCATTCATTCCTAAGAGGTGGTTTAGTGCGTTCAAGTCTCACACGGTGGCTTTCGATGCTGCCACCTATTATTTTAAGAGATACCAAATTTGCTACTTCACCAAACAATCTTAGACGTCCTTTCCAGAATCTTCCTATTTTTTCTTACAAAATGTATGCAGATATTTCTTTTTGAAAAAGAGAATAATTATCAGAAATATTTGAAAATTCCCTCTTCTGAGAGAATAGGTGGGGAATTCGTTGAAAAATTCGGTAAAGGTTATAAGCATGCCATGAATAATAAGCTTTACAAAATCAATTTGTTAAGAATCCAATGTTTGTAATATGTTGTTCACGTCTTCTCACAATTAATTGCGGTTGAGGTTCCTTGACAACTTCAAAGAGATTGTAAACCATACTTTGCTTCTATGATGATTGGCTCCGGGAAATAGATCTGTATGCTTCCATAATTTGAAATAAAATTCTAAACAGTACTTTTCCGAGTAGGTAGTCACCGAAAATGACTAACGTGCTTACCGGGCTAACAGTCAGTTAATTACACTTAAAAATGATAATAAGACACTTATTGATTTGTGTTAAAATTTTTAATATAAACTTAAATAATTTAAAAAACTTGTTGATAAATAGGTCGTAATAACAATTTATTATTAAATTAAAAATATTAAAATTTTTCAATACTTGATTTGACTTGTGTTCTCAGATTTTTAATTAAGTTCAAACAAAATGTTTTTGATATTATATATTTAACATTTACTTATATTCGAGTTGGTGTTAATCGACTAAATTTTTACCACTTCTAAAATTTGTGGGTGCACCAGTTAGTGTCGCATTGGAAATGTGCGGTGATTTTATATTCTATGTGAGTCAAACGTATAGTTCATCTAGTTTGTAAGATTTGAACTAACCCAACAACTGGTTTAGTGTTGAATTGTGGTTGTCATAATATAACTTATTTATTACAAATTCAAAACATATCTTATACGTAACTACTGCTTCTATTAAAAAAGTTCTATACATTTCTAATTAGATATGGAACTAATAAGTTGACAATATCTTAATCAATGTCCATATGACTTACAAATATTATGTTATGGTTATATGATTTGAAACTGAAAGACAGAAAACATACGAAAAAAGTTCTAAAATCTATTTCGAATAGAAATATTTACAATTATGTCACAGACGACTGACTATAAGTAGAAATAACTTGAAACACGACCAGCAGAATACAGAAAGATCAAAACGTGACTCTCTCAAAATATATAGTTCTAAGAAAATTGTTTATTAGAAAATTGTTGGTATATTTATAATAAATTTCCATCTAATTGAAAACCGAATGTTGAAAGTTTATATGTCGTGCCGTACATAAAACTATTTTATAATTCTTTGAAAACGAAAGTAATTTAGAACAAATAAATCGATATCATTTTTTTCTGGTTTTGTGTGAACTGAATGTTCAGAAAAGCGTGTAAACAATATTCAAGGTTTCATATTTGCTTTTAATATTTCTTAATTATTAATATTTCGTAATTCATATAAATGCAAAACTAAAATATTTATATAATTATACAATTATTAAAATGAATTTTTTCACTTATTAATAGAAGAATTGCACACTTGTTTCAGATTTACATATTAGAACATAAAACCAATGTCTAGGAACGTGTTATTATTTACCCATAATTACATAGAAAATTATAAACTCTTTTTTCTTATAGAAAGTGTTGAGATACATTGTGGCATAGTTACCATTAGAAGATACATCGGGTTTTTATACTGAATCATATAAATAAAATATCTTAAAGAGATCATTCTTCCCCCGGTGTAATCCAAAAAGTGAAACAATATATTTTTAATAGTTTTTAACTGTCGCACGCCTGTTTGAGCTCTCCAGTGTTCAATTAGATGTTCTTTCTCCCGTTCACATACTAAGCTATTTGTGAAGCTATTTGTTACCCCGCAGAAGGGCTCTAGACCAATGAAAGGAGTACATGCACCCTTTTTTGCTAGGGAGTCTGCTATTTCATTGCCCTCATGCCCTTCGTGTCCCAGTACCCACATAAGAGTAACATAGTTCCTCGATGCTAAGGTGTTGAGAATTTGAAAGCATTCCCAGACCAACTTTGACTGGAATAAGGATTTTGCTAAAGATTTTAGAGCTGCTTGGCTGTCTGAAAGGATGCATATTTTGGTACCTCGGGTGCCCCTTCGTATGCATAGTCGGGTGCATAGTTATCAATCAATGATTTACTATGACTACATATCAATGAACAGATATGCACTACACCTTATTAAACTTTGGTACTTTTGTGGCATATTTTCGACCAGATTTGCCTAGGTATGTAGCTGGTTTCTTCCACTTACCAGTCACTCTTTGACTGCAGTGTTTTCATTTCTAAAACAACGTTGAAAAATAATTCGGGGAATCCGCCATATATTTAATATTATTGTGGTGTCCGAAAGCGTACAGTCATATTTAGACATCTCATCTATTTTTATTCATGTCTAATAGTGCAATATGAAAGGAAAATACTCAGAAAGATTTTTGGCCCCGTAAAAGAAAACGGGATGTATCGCATAACACATATTCACCAGCTAGAACGGCTAGCAGAACGTAATTCAATCAAAAAATTTATGAAAAAGCAGCGATTAAGATGGATCGGACTTGTAATAAGAATGCCGGATATGAGAATTATGCGAACGAAGCAATCACAACTATACCAAACTGACAGTTAAATCAAAATACTGAAACTGTAGTATTATTTTAGGATATCTTGATCTGGCTAACTGTAAGCTACGCACTGACCGATACCTAATAGAATTCAACCTCTATGTAAATTTTGTGATAGACATTTGTTTTAACGTATTTCAAGAGATTTTAGACCAGACTTTTAAACAGAGGTCAAATGTCTTGTATGTCATATGATGGTTAAACCGTATTATTAAATCAGTATCATTATTTACGTGGAAATCACGTAATAACTACTTCTTTTAAAAGATGAAACTTAGAGACACCGACACTTGCAGAGTGAAATTTCCGTCCATCTTATCTGCTTGTGTTGTGCGATTGATTACCAGGAAAAAATTCTAGTATTTCCATTCGGCTTTCATTAAACGAACAAGGTAAATATATTTTTAGATTTGTTAGTAAATTTAAATTGTCTATACTAGCTTACGAAACTCGGAACTTGCAGAATCACATTGTACTATTGTCCCTTTTAATAATGAAAATAATAATAATATAATAAATATTCAAAAGAAGTGGTTTCAATATTGAGTTTTGAAACATTTAATAGAACTTACAAACTACAGGTTGGTTTGGTTGCAGTGGCAGGCCATTTGGTAACTTCGAGTGTACCTCAATTAGCGATTTTCGCCGTTTTGTTACCACATTCCTCGCAAGAACCCTAGTATAGAAGAGTAGAGACTAAATCCATCCCGCTGAATTTAGGTAATTTAATAGGTCTTTCATTTTCACCATTGAGCAGTCTGATAAACTATCACAGAAATATTTTCCTAAGAACCTATATCTTCTAGACGCTAAAGCCGGACATTCACAAAGAAAATGTATTATTGTTTTTTCTCCTGCGAATTTCCACAACTTCTGCAATGAGCGTTATGGGGAATACGCAGTTTCTCTGCATAAGTTCCTACACACCAATGACCAGTAAGAACTGCAGTAAGCCTTGCAGTGTTCATGCGATCCCTTTTGATGAGTTCCGAGGATTTGTTTTTATTGTAAGTGGGCCATGTTAACCTGGAAATTGCACATGACCTATGGTAAGTGCTTTCCATCTGTTATTGGCAAGTTGCAGAAAGTAGAGGAAGGTACTTGTTTTAATGGTCTCCAGGGTTATATAAACCGGCACCGCCAGTGACGCATCCAGAGAGGCACCAGAGCGGGCTAAACTGTCAGCTTTCTCGTTCCCTACGATATTCCTATGTCCAGGAACCCAAATGAGACAAACTACAGGAGTTTGTAAAAGAAACTCCCAATAAACAATTTTAACATATTTAACTTAACAATAAACATATCTGAAAGGTTTCATTGTTATTAAAAACATAAACATGAATTCTTATAAATATTTGTTTATATGGTTTTCGTTTATTGTTAATATTTAGGTAAATATTGTTTATTTAAAAATTTAATTATGTATTTTTTATATTCGAATAATTTTTATTGAATATTTTTTTTTATTATGAATAAAGACGTGTCTTATAATTATAAATAATAGTGTGAGCTAAAATTTAACTGATATGAAGTTCAAGATCAACACATAATATATTATTTTCATTTTTCCGTATGTAAAGCATTAATTAATAAAGATTATACTATACCTACATAAAAATAATTGTATTAAAAATAATAAAAAAAAAAAACTTACAAAATACTAGTACTAATAAAAAAAATTTTATTACTTACAGATTTGGTTCCGGAAGTAGCCAAGCATCACAAAGTAGTGGAGATATATGTAGAATTTGTCATTGCGAAAGTGATCCACAAAATCCTCTACTAACACCCTGCTATTGTTCTGGTAGTTTAAAGTATGTACACCAAGCTTGTCTACAGCAATGGCTTACAGCATCGGAGACAAATTCCTGTGAATTATGCAAATTTCCATTTATAATGCATACCAAGATAAAGCCGTTTAATGAGGTAAACTACTACTACTCTTTACACAAATATATTCTTAACAACAATTATAAATCATTTTTATAACTCTATTTGTAATCTAACAAAAAGTTACACTTCAATAAATGAAATGCAGTTGAAATATGAATGTATATTCTCGAAACTCTTATACGCGGTGGTGCATAATCTCGTATTTTAAAATATATAGAAATATAAATCTGTAATTAGGTATTGAAAAATAAATTACGTGTAAATGAATTACTTAGATTCAGTTTAAAAATGCTTTTAAACCTTTTTATTGATCAGCCAATAGATAATAAATTTATTCCTGTGCAAAAAACACTTGTACGTCTAAAAGTATGGCAACACTTACTTTAACGCATGCACCATCACATTCACTTTGCTGCCATAAAATTACTGCATTATTTTTCCTTTATAACTTTTTGTTTTTATTGCAGTGGCGCAGCCTTGACATCTCTGGCATTGAAAGGAGACGACTTTGTTGTTCGGTGATGTTCCATTGCGCTGCTGCTCTATGCGTAATATGGTCACTTTGTGTACTTATTGAGCGTGCAGCAGATGATGTTCAACGTGGTCTAATAGGTAAGTACGGCAACAATATTTGTCTATATTTGAAATATAAATTTGTTTTTTGACATTAATGTTTTATTTCAAATACTCTTACAGACTGGCCTTTTTGGACAAAATTAGCCGTTGTTACTGTCGGTCTAACGGGTGGTGTAGTGTTCATGTATATACAGTGTAAGGCATATTTACATTTATGTCACCGCTGGAAAGCTAGAAACAGGTAAGTCCTATTAAATTTTTCCAACATATTGAAAAGTAGATAATAGTTATGTTCAGAAAAATATAAGATACTGCTTTGACTAAGTTTAAGTACAAAGCATTTCAAAATTCCCTAAATGTTTATGTGTTTGTATCATGAATACGCCAAAAAGGTATTACTATTGGAACGGATCCAACATCAGGAAGTATAAGTAACGATTAATTGCCCTTCATACCACGAAGCAGTACCTTCTCTAAGATTACGGATGCAAAGCATCATAGTACACAACAGGCCTCCATCTGAAATCTTTAGGAATGAAATAGACTTTCCTCGTACATCATCAATTGCACTAGCTAAACAGTTACATGTCATATATTAATACTTCAATTTCTTCCCATTTATTTTCCTCTTCTATTCTATATTACCTATTAGAGTACTGCACGCGCGCATTTGATTTCAGTTTCAAAGCATTCTATTGTGTTTAGAATGGTAGCATACTCTCACTCTCAACGAACAAATACGAATGTATAGGCATAAAAACAAAATGGAATGGAATAAATATTGGTTTCGTTTGTTTAGAGTACTCTAACTCTAAACATTCTAAAAGTAGTTGAAGTAGTTGGGAGTACTCTAAGCATTTGATTTTCAGTTCATACAAAAATTATGTGTTTTTAAATAGTAAGACCCAAATTTATTTATTTAAGTTTTTTTATTAATTAAATATTATTTAAAATGTTGATAATAGTAATTTGTTGATTACATATATAATATGACTTAATATATTAATTAAATATAAAAAAAATTTTGAACAAAAATTTATTTAAAAAAATTATAAGTTTTTTTACAGTTTTTACAGTTCACAAATTTAATTTAATATGCAAATTAAATGTTGAGCATCGTCTGATGCTCTTTTTCAAGATTGTTGTGTAAAACATGGTTTGATTGATAGATCTTTGATTAGATGAAATCAATGTTCTTTTTTCTGATATTAAGTTCCGAGCAACTGAAAAAACCCTTTCCGAAGATGCACTACTTGCTGGTGTTGCAAATAATTTACAAGAAACTTTGTAAAGTAGAAATTCTGAAGGAATTCTTAAGAAATTTCTAAAAATCTCTCTTGTCATAAATAGATATTTTTACCATATCATGCATAAAATTATTTTCCAAGAAAAGGTAAATATGTGAAGCAATTTATTTTGTTACATGATAAAAAACTATCGACAAAGAAGGAAATTCTGCGCAAACCGTTTTTTTAAGTTAACCTTTTGCATTAGATCTACCTGTTTAAACAACTTTTGCATTGCAAATAATAGAAAATTAAACCTAATTTACGTACTTTGTTGTTGCAATTATTGCAAATCTCTACGCACATCCAACTTTCTTTACTTTTGCGCAGGCAACCAAACGCACACAAAATACTTTGCAAAAATAGAATTATTTGAAATACTCTAAAAGTGATTGAAATACTCTAAAAGTGATTGAAATACTCTAAAATATTTGTTTATTTGATTTTAAAATTCAAAACAAACGATTATAGAGAACAAATCAACCCCCATTCCATTGAAACGAATGCGGCGGAAACGAATTCTATCGGACCGTTTCTGTTATTCGTTCGTATTCGCTTTAGAAATAATTTGTAAATATGGTACACATTTGAAAATAAAACGAATGACCGCAAAAACGAATGTTTTGATGCAGCACTTTATTACCTATTCGAACATTGATATACGGTTTCATTGAAGTAGCCACGTTGACTAAGACTTAATCAACTACTGTTCAAAGCTCTTATCAAGCCATATAGATGGACATCCTATTGGTGCCATATTCAGCAGAGTCCTTCGTCCTAGATGCATTCGTCGATCCCTTTCTTCTAATTACACTTAAATCGCCACTTATTACAATGGAGCCAACATCAGTTAGGTCGAATACAAACGTGGACTCAAAGCCCTCCACACAGATGCAGTAACCTTTTCGATATTTCGCAAGAAGCACGGCGTCTCCCTCGTACAGCTTTGAACTGTTTTACCTCAATTAAGATCAATATATAGTCAATTACTTATCACGCATAAGTACTTCTATTCCTAATGTGTGCTCAATCTACAGCCCTACCCTTCATGATGTCGCTCATCTGTTCTCTTGTCCCTCTTCGCACACAAACCAACCTACGTCTAATTGACTTTTAGACTCACCCTCTTGAAGTGGCCATATTTTTCCGCCTGGACCCAAGTTGAACTCAATCGAAATTCTCACCAACCCTATATCCTCTCCTTCCCTTTTATTCCGCCTACCTTGTTCACGCCTGCATAGAACTGACGTATTCACGCCTGTATAGGATGTCAATTTGTTCCGCCATGTTGATGTGTTTATGCCGAAATAGGATTATATATGAAAAATGGTTCAGTTGTTTTAATATTTAACTTAACCGTTGCTATGCTTATGATTTCATCAGAAAATGTCCGGTGTATATCATATTTACCTCTGACGTGCTTGCGATATCTTCGAAATTTGAACTCAAGTCTTCCATCCATGATTTGAGCAGACGATGAGGCAACTATCGGCATGGGGTATTGATTCTTCAGACGTTTTGTACCTAGATTTTATTTTGTGGTGGCGTTAGCTTGTGCCGTTCTGGTAATTCAATTATAAATTTTCATTATATATTCCATTTTACGTAGGTTTCCTGTCTGTCCTTGCTTGGACGCCAATGTATCGTGAAACGATGTTAAAAAATTGAAAAAGAAGCCATTAACAGGACTATTCAAAAGAAATAACATTTTTTTAGAATCTGAGATGCATAACTAATGCAAGAGTATTAGACTCGAGTACAGTGATTCGCTTGAAAATGTTAGATTGTCATATACTGCTCAATCATTTGCTGTTATACGTATCTGTATTGACCAAACACGGACCCCTGTCATCGCTCAGACACCATATTCGCCAGGTCTGGATCCGTGCGACTTTTTCCTGTTCCCAAAACTCAAATAGCCCCTTCGTTGAAAACGTTTTGAATCGATTGAATCGGTAAAAGAGAATTCGCTGAAGGAACTAAAAGCCGTACCTTCACGGGCCAACGAAGTTCGAAACCCTTGTAAAACTTTATACCTATACTTGGTTACTTTTACAAGTCTAGAGAGTAATTTCTTTTGTTGCTGTCACTAAAAATAGAATTATTAACTATTCTTTTATCTTAGCATATATTTTTTGAAAGGCATATATATGTAATTATATCGAATTTAAAACTAAATCAAACTTCAATTTTAAAATCAAATTTCTTTGTCTGTTAAGAATCAGCCAATTAAGAATTTACTTAATTAAAAACATTTCTTTTGAATTCAAAAATTTCAAAACTACTACCACCTCCTTTCTATTCATAATTTAATTGTTGCCATAGGATATTCAATTCTTAAGCAAACCAAAGATAAATTTTACTTATTATTCTTTTCGTGCAACTAAATAAAAGCTAATATTTTTTTTTTACTTTTGCAGAATACTGCTAATACAAAATGCACCTGAAAAAATACATCCACTTTCGCCACCATCTCCTACTCTACAGCATCGTAATCGTCATATGACATCGAATGAACCATGCAGTTCAACTACAAATGCAACGACTGGTTCAGTGGAAGTAATGGCGAACGTAGCAACTGCATCGAATGCTTATAATTACGCTAATTCAACTGGTATTGGAGGTAATAATTCTGAGATTGATAGCGCCACAGCATCACATCGACTATTCAACCAATCATGTTCTCAAACATCACCTCACCATATGCTACAACCTGTTGATCTAGATATAGATCCATTGGCGCCTCGTACTTCTTCCTCTGGTATACATCAACAAATGCAGCACCTGCTACCTCAACAACAAGTGGCTGTTGCTGCAAATATAGAATGTTCTCAATCGCAACATAACTATGAGCGTGATTGGGCTTTAGATGATGTAGTCTCACAGATCTCATCATTTCGACCTTGCCCACAGGGCTCGGGTAGTATGACACCATTTCATGATTCCATACATAACGTTTTAGAAAACTCGGAAGGTTCTAGTCGTGTTTCCATAAATGATGTGTGCAGTGGTTCACGACAAGATTTGAGTACAGGCGGTATATCCACAGATACAGGACGAGATCATGCATTACAATTAACTAGTTACAGCGGTAAATTTTATTTAAAATTACAATAGAACAATATAATAATTTTTTATATTTACAAATATTAGGTAGTGGAGAACATAAGGCACCATCAATCAGTTCTGGTGTTTCGAATGCTGTAGAAAAGATCTGGTGCGGTTTTTCGTATGAACCACATTCTAAACGTTATTCAAATTCATCAATTTATATTGAGAATCGTGATATATTAAACGATTCTACACTTGGCTATGAAACGACATGTGAGGATGATTTTTCTCAACATAATTATCGACATTCTAGTATATTAACACCAAATCATGATAATTCCGATCAATTAGAAAAATTTTTAGGCGAAGATTTACGTAGATTTTCAGATACAAAACTGCTGGACAGTACAGAAACAGATACGCTTGATCCAATATTGTACAAAACTAATATTAATGCAGAAAACAATGAAATATCTACTAGTAAACGAGTACGTCAATTGCTTAAGCAACATTCAGCTACAGCTGCAGATACTGTACTTGATATAGAATTACCAACATCACCACTTTCACCACCAGCAGCTTACGCTGGACAATGCCAGCAAATACCAACACTACGACGTTCAATGCAAACCTTTGAAGTAGGCGGCTTAAATTTACAACAAAATAATCCAAATTGTAATACCGCCCAAACCGCCCAACAAATCGATAAAGCACGACTTTTTTTTAAATCGTTGCCAAATTTGAGTAACAGTTGTGAAAATTTGCTCAGAAAATAATTACATTACAACCACACCACACAAGGAGCCAACCTGACAAAAGTTATAAATATGAAAATAAGGATAAAGCGCAGATGTTTACAATTTTATGCGCATCTTTTTTGAAATACGTCCACTTTATGCGTACATAATATTTATTATAAGAAATTATTAGAAATTTAATTAATAATGAACAAATAATTTTTAAATTAAAACAACAAAAAATAAATGAATAAGTAAGAAATGTAAACAATTTTGCTGAATTATTATATTAGTAAAATTTTGTTAATGATAGACAATGTACCAATCCAAAAAAAAAAAAATTATTTTTTTGTCATATATTAGTTATTATAAATTAAGCTTTATTTTTAAGATTTTATTTTCTACAGTTTAGTTTAACCACAATTAACCTATTTTTATAATGAACTAATATTGGAAAGAAATATTTATTTTTTAAGTCTTTACAAAAAAAAAAAAGTTTCCATGACATGTACTTTGTATGAAGTAATATTTCTTTGTTTAGAAAATCTTCATTACTAAATAAAAAAAAATTGAGTTTTTATATGAAGTATCACAAGAGATATAATTAATTTAGTTTCCTTTGGATCACTCTTAACTCAGTCTAATAAGCTTTTGTTTTTTTTAATATTATAATTAATTTTTTATTATTATAATTAATTTTTTATTATTATAACTAATTTTTTATAATTATAACTAATTTTTTAATATCAAAACTAAAATTTCGTGTGATTATATATGTAAATTATGAATCATTTCATTTTAGAAAAGTTGCCATATATTTTTTATATTAGATAATGTACTTTACAATTTTTTTTATGTATTAGCATTTACAGTCTCCTTAGAAAGTAATTTTTTTGTGAATTACCATAATAAAGTAATAATAATACATTTTACTATTAATCATGGAATGCACTAATTGGTTAGTTAATTAAAACACAAATGATCGTTTTAAATAATGTTTTTAATAAAATAAATAAATTTCGATAATCAAACTCAGTTCTTCATCGAAGTGGACTATCCAAGATATTTGAAATATCGAACATTTATTTTGTTAAAAATAACACGTGCTCAGTAATATCGTAATTCGAAAAATATCGTAAAATCGTAAAATTTTGTGTGTATTTATTTTAATATATTTTAATATGTATTTATTTTATATTACATTACCGAATTATTTTTTTCAGTATTCTGTACAACAGTTGATTCTTATTACGGTTGAAGTGTTGTACCAAATTTAAATTGAATTAAAAGTGTTTTGGACAAAATTATAAATAAAAGAATAAATACCAAATTATAGTTTTTTTTTTATTTTACATATTTGATTCTATTTAGAAATGTTGCAGATGTTTCGTTTCTTTTTTTTTTTTTGCCTTCTTGATAAAGGCCGAGTATAAGAACTAATTTTATAAACATCGAATCGGTACTATTTATTATTAGAAAAATTTAAAAACAAAATTAAAAAAATAAGTATGTAAAAAACTATACATTGAAACTCTATTTTATTTAAAAAACCCTTTATAATAAAAAAACAGGAAAAAATAATAAGTTTTAGTTTAAATTTTAATTTTTTATACTATTTTTTCGCTAAAGTCGTTCAGTTTTACGATTTTAACGGGATAGAATTAGAAATATATGTTTAGACGTCTATTATTTTACGACGTTACCTATGTCACCTGCAAAATTGGTATTTAGATTTGAAAGAAGAAAACACTACATATATCTTATGAGTATTAATTGTGTTTTTTTTAATTACTTATGTTATTAATGTATTTGTTGAATTACATATGAATACTGAATAATATTGAATATTGAATAATTTGTGTTTTAATTAAATGAACAATTATTTCATTAGTTTCATAATTACTATATAATTTCGGTCATAAAAAGTACATTTAATAAAATCTTATAATATGAATATTTAATAAATGAACAATATTGAAAAAATTAGCAATATCTTATGGATAGACACAATAGCTTTCCTAAATGACCATAATTTCATTCAACTGTATTGTGAATTACACTTACTAAAAATATTTAAATATATATATTTTAAATTTCTATATTCTAAACAACAAAAACAAAATTATTTCTTCTCACTCTTTAGGGGTTTTCATATTTTTTTTTAAATAATAAAATTTTCTCACTTTCTTTAAATTATAAATCATTACTTTCACAGTTTAAATTATAAACCAGAACCAATAAACCACTAAAGATATCCTCCAATATGAGTGTACTTGTTCCCAAAGTAATCCTATTTCATCTATATAGCTGTATAAAGCAACTTTTAAAGTATAAAGTATTTATATTAGAAAAATAAAAATTTATTTCTAAAAATAATGACTGCAGTCATGGGCGTGCACAGGTAAGGGCAGGGAGAGGGCGCTCGTCAACATCCCCTCCCTCCCCTGGATTTCAAAATGTTATTACTGTTTTGAATAAAAATTTAATATTGTTTACAAGAAAAGTTTAAAATTTGTCTTTTTTTGTGAACAAAATCTAATTTTCAAGTTTTCAATGAACTAGGGGTGAAATATACTAGCTAATATAAACCAAAAAGAAAAAGAAAAAAGTACTAAAAAGGTGCCTTAGCACACTTTAAAATATATAATACTATCATATCATTATATCAGCGTCCCCCCTAATTTCGGCCCTGGATACGGCCATGACTGTAGTAAAATAATTATATCAAAATTATATTTACAGTGTTTTTTGCAGTTTTAACTTCAGCCAATTTAATTATTAAAAACAGTACAATTTATTTTAGTTTTAATTTGTTATTGAAATTTTACTATGAATTCTTTTAAATATTTTTTTTATTATTTTTTATAAAAAATATTTGAAATCGTGTTGAAATTTTTGTCGTTTGAAATGGAATATTATTTCAAAAAATATGTATAATATCCCAGCCTCCCAAAAAGAATAAATTTTAATTTTTATAAAGAAGTTATAAAAACAAATTTTTTTTATCTTTAGAACTACAGTAAATAAATTACATATGTTTATATAAAATTATGTACTAATATTTTAAATTTCGTTAGAGTTGTTGACGCCTAATTTGGGCGAAGTATATATCATTGTGTAAACCCAACCCTCAATTTGTTTAATTATACTACCATAACCAAATAAAAATATATTTATCTATATTCATGTATCTTTGTCTATAATAATGCTTAATTTTATTTTAAACCAGCGACTGTATACATTTTTTTAAGTTTTTATATTGATATTGATATTGTAAATATAACGTTTGAAAAAAATAAAACAAATTTAAATAAAATATAAATATAAATTTGATATGTTCATTAGATAAAAAAACTAACAATATATGATCAAAAACAAAATTTTAATTATTTATTCAATATTTTATTATTTTATCCTAAAAATAAAATATTGATTTAAAAAATAGATAAAAATATATAAGTATAAAAAAAAATTGATATGCTTAAATCGAGATCTGTAAGAGTTTGTAAAGAAAACTGTATTGAGACTGTGTATAAAAATAATATATATGTGTACTTTATATTTAATCATATATTCACTAAAGTTTTACTATTTATTAAAAATAAATTGAATATATATCGTACTGAAAGAACTACACACAAAAATAATTGTGAAATATTAAAAGTCCTAAATTTTTGCTCTTTGAAGTTTTTTGAATAAACAATAGAAAAACGTAACGATTTGAAACTTAAAGTGTAACTTAACAAAATTTTAATTATCTGTGATTAAATATTTCATTAAAAACATAATAATAAAAATGAAAATAATTATTCAAAAAAAAAAAAGCCAAAAGTAAATGGAAATTTAAAATTAAAAGTACATAGACTTTTAAAATCAGATATACAAAATTATTTATATACTATTTATGAATATATGTTTGTATATAAATATATATAATAAAATTAAACAATGAACTCGAAAAAGAAAATATTAAATAATAACTATTTTCTTCAATTTTGAGCTAAAATTTAATACAACCAAAAATTTATTTAACTCTAAAACAACAACTTTTGCAGTACTTATTTAATAGAGTACATTATATTAAATACATTGACCATAAATTGGCTAAATATCTTATTTATAATATAATATATATGTGTATATATAAATATATATGAATTATATTAAATTTATTTATATATTCTCATATATATATTCATATACATATATATATATGCATATATTCTATTGGAGTAAATTTAAGGACACTCCGATGAAATTATAAAATTAAATACTTAGAGAATGTAAAAACAAACAAAAAACGAAGTATGTTTACATATATATATATATGTTAGTTTTAATAAGAATAAAATAAAGAAATTTATTATAGTTCTAAATATCTTATAAAACCCATATTTTTGCTATCTGTAAAATATGAAATAAATATATAGCGCAAAAATACTATATTTGTATTAAAAATTTAAAATAAAGATCATAAATTCTTAATGAAAATTATACTAAAAAGCTTTGTTATTTTTTATATTATATTTAATAAAGTAGCATATCACTCAATAAGCATCTGATTTAATTACAAAAAAAAAATAATAAACCAAATAAATTTTTTTAAAAATTTCGACTTCAATCATCAACATTCATTCCAACAGTCCTCTTACTTTTTATTCTTTTTTTTATAGAACGGTAAAAATCAACTTACCGATTCTATACAATTTTGGAATAAAATCAAAAGGGGACTAGTTTAGTCGAGACGTCCCAGCGGTTGTAACTGCCCATCTTTAAGCTGTTGCAGCACTGCTCCTACTGCGGCATTGCTAGCGTCCACATTTAGCACCAGTTTCGCATTCGGAGCCGGGTGTGCTAGCATTGCAGCATTCGCCAGATTGTTCTTACACACTTCAAATATTTTCTCGGCCTCTGCTGTCTACTCAATCGGAGATCTACCATTTTTCTACTTCCTTTTAATAGCGCGTGCAGAATGCCATGATTCTTCGCAGCATTCGGGAGGAAACGCCTGTAAAAATTAATTGAAGCGATGAACCTTCTTAACTCTCGTGCTTCCTTCGGTTTTTTAAAATTTCTTATCGCTTCTACCTTTTCAGCTATAGATTTAATTCCATCCCCATTTATCACATGTCCCAGAAAGGTAACTTCTTTCATAAAAAACACACTTTCCCAGATTGATCTTCAGACCATGGTCGCTTAATCGCTTGAACACTTCTCTTAAATGTATTTCGTGTTCCTTTTCATCAGCTAATGCAATACATATATCATCTATGTACGTTACTACATAATTCAGATTCTTTAGGACATCATTCATAAACCTTTGGAAAGTCTGCGCAGCATTGCATAGACCAAAAGTCATCATGTTAAACTCATATAAGCCGAACGGGGTTACTATCGCCGTTTTAGGTCGATCCTCTTTAGCAATCGGAATTTGATTGTAGGCTTTTTCCAAGTCAATAGTTGAGAAAATTTTCTTATTGTGCAATATGCGAGTAAAATCATGTATATGGGGTATTGGATACCGATCTCGCAGTGTTATCGAATTAAGCTTCCTATAATCGCCACACGGTCTCCACTTACCATCCTTTTTTGCCACTAAATGCAGCGGACTTGCCCAATTGCTGTTACTTGGCCTACAAATACCTTATTTCGTCATAAATTCAAATTCCTTTCTCGCAATTTCAAATTTTTCAGAGTTTAAGCGTCTAGGTTTTGCATACACTGGCTGTCCCTTGGTAACAATTTGATGCTCTACTAGCGTAACCCTCGCGGCCGCCTTATTACTAGTAGCCGGTTGCGTTATCTCTTTATAATCCCGCAGGATGTTATGTGCCGGGCTAGTCACATCAATAGTGCTTAGTTTCACGCAGTGCATCACCTTCTTCGAACCCATTATCTGGAGGCCTGTAATGCCATTACAAATTCTGCTGTTCTTCAGGTCAACTACCAAACCAAAATTATTCAAAAAATCTGCCCCTATTATTGGGTGATTTACCTTCGCCGCTAGGAACTCCCACAGCAACTGTCTGCGCAACCCCAAATTGACTTGCATTAATTTCGTACCATACGTGCTAATTTTCGCCCCGTTTGCTGCGTATAAATAATATTGCGTGGCTTTATTTTCAGGCTGCATTCTCTTTGACGAAATTGAAACTTCCGCGCCCGTGTCTATTAGATAATTTATAGCTGTTTTTTTATCCTTGAAGAACAGACGGCATGCTTTACCCTTTGCCATTTCACTCGCCGTCAGACGTGAAGTGGTGTTTAGTTTCCCGCTGAGTTTTGTGACGGTTTGTACTGGCACGGCTGAACACATTTTGTGGACCTCTCCTTGAACCGCCGATGATAAAAACATATATTATCTCTTTTAGCACTTGATGATCGCCCTTTTCCATGATCTCTGTCATTTGCCCAACTGAATGATCAAATTATTTACCATGACTTTTAACTCGTCAATTTCTTTCTTCATCTCATTCGGTTCATTCCATTGCACTACACAAACCGTTTCTGTTTCCTGTACCTCAAATACCTTATCAGCCACCTTGGCCCACTGTGCAGAATCACCTTCGACTGCAGCTACGATTGTTCTAACTCCCACTGGCAGTCGCTGTAACCACAATGACTTCAGTGCGTCATCACCCATTGAACTGCCAGCCATTTCCTTCAGCAATTGCGTTGGTTTCATGTCGCCTAGCTCCAATTCTGTCAACAACTTACGCAGTCTTTTGTGCTCCGATTCTGTGAATTCATTTATCAACTGTTTCTTCAACGTCTCATATTTCAACACCTTCGGTGGATCCCGAATCACATCAGCTATGCACTCCAGATATTTCGGCTCTAAACCTGCTACTACATGGTCGAACTTTGTATCATCTCTCGTTATTCCCGCATTCCTGAACTGCGCCTCCATTTGCAGAAAAAAAAGGTCCGGGTGCTCTCTTGAAAACATCCCCGACTTTATTGACACCCGATATACCTCCTTGTCAGTGCGGCTTTCTCCTTCTGCCGGAAAAAAATCTTCTTCCTCACGGTTAGTCATCTTGCTTACTTAATCGGGCTTGATAAAAACTTACAACTCCTTTTTTGTGTCGGGGTCACCAATGTTGTGCTCGCAATAACAAGATAGTTTTTATTATTTAAAAAACAGTATTTTATTGCAACACAAAACTAACTATATCACAAAAATAATTTGAATGAATATTTAAGTAAAATATTTTCAAATCTCAAAAATCTGATCATTTTCATCTACTTGTTATATATCACCACAACCCCTTTACCCCAGGAAGTAAAGCAGATCCCTGGATATTTAGTTGGTGGTTCGAACTTTATTCGATAGACGCAGGCGTTACCATGTCGTTAACCATGTTTTCATCTCGTAATTGCTCTCACGTTACTTGTAACATATATCCTCACGGGAAGATTGAGTTATATGAACATTCCCATTACATTGGCTTCGACTTCCAACGAGTTTGTTAGCTTAATTATAAATGAGTGCACCTCGCGGATTTGTAAGAGTGATATCCCCTATTATCTAAACGACTAATGTAACCAACAGATATCTGGCCGATCACTCGATGCTCATGACAAAGTTAAAAGATATTTAGTCATTTATTATTGATTGAAAGTAGTTTCTATCATATAATTATTGGACTTTAAGAACTCTAATTAATAGACTTTAAACTCAACAGATATCGCCATATTTTAATCACCACTACACGTACTTGACACAGTTGGAACTGATTTATTTATTATTGATGAAAATAATAAATATCATGTTAGTGACGACAAAAACAATATCATGGAAAGTCTGGTTAGCAATTATTAGTGAATAAATGCAAAGACTATTCATAAAAATTATAAATTTGACAAAAGAAATGCCTTCACAGATCTAATTTTCCTGGCAAAAACTGAGCTTGATTGCTGCTATCAAACTATTTAGGGTTTGCGTATAGATTGAATCAAAAGTTTATTGAACATGGATAAATTCAAAATCATCACACTTTATATATACTCTACTTTACATCTATTATATTATACATTATATTATATCAATAAATATTTGGTTTTAAGTATTGAAATAATAGAAGTATTATACCCGGCTTGCAAGAAAGAAGCTATACATATCCAAAAATAATAGAATAAAACGATTAAACTTTACAAGATAGCATGTAAAAAACCTATGGAGTTCTGAAAATAAGCTATTTTCTCCGATGAGATTAAATTCTGCATATTTGGAATCAAAGGTAGTAAACTTGTATATAGAAAATCATGTACAGCCTATGATAAACAAAACTTTATTTCAACGGTTGAACATGGTGGTGGAGGTGTAATGGTTTGGGGTGTATACCAAGTAATGGTGCCGGTAAGCTTGAATTTATACAAGATATAATGGACAAATATGAGTAAATAAATATACTAAAAACAAATTTGAAAGAAAATGATAGAATTTTAGAGCTTGGCACAACCTTTTTGTTTTAGCAGGACAAACAAAAGCATACAGCAGCGATCGTACGGATTTGATTGCTGAACCATGCTCCCAGGCAACTTCAAACACTATCAAAGTCACCAAACCTTAGTCCTATAGAACATCTGTAGGTTTGTTTGGAAAAAAATATTCTCCAGCACACGATTTCCAGCAAGGATATGCTGGAAATCGTCATCAAGAAAAAATGGGAAAAAATAAACTCGCAAGATAATATAAAACTGATTAAAAACGCCTAAAAAGGTTATTAAAAGTAGAAGTTTCCATACAGGCTATTAAATTTAAGATTTCTGTGAATTTTATTTGTTTTAATTAAAATATTAAGAAGTGACCGCAGACTTTTTCTGCTTCAAAAATTGTTACCTCCGTATAAAATTTTTTTTTTTCATTATTGTTTGTTTGGATAAAATAAATCAGAAAACAAAAATCAATTTGAGTATTAATAAGTTATGCGAAATTAGAGAAAAATTGTGTGGATATCCATAGACTTTTTCTGCTGAGTGTATATCTGGTAATATAAAAACAAACACCTTCATCAAATGGTAAATATCAAACACTTCTATGTTCCAATTTAAGTAATATTGTAATTTTTTTTTTTTAAGAAATAAAAAAACTATATTTTAATTAAATTTTTATTTTTATTAATTTAATCTTGAATACAATAAACTCTTTCTTACCAACTACGCAGTAGTCTTTTTTAAGTAATATTTTATTTTTGAATGAAATATTTTTTTTAATGAATTTTAATAATTTGGACAATGAATTTTTTGTTTTTATTACTAATATTATAAGATTTTTTTAAATGCATTTAAATGATTACAAAAGCTTAACTATCTTAACTACTTGCTGCTAGTCTCCATTTTTTCTGGAGAACCATTTTGACCTTGATCAGCCTTGTCGTTCTGTTCGGGGGCTTTAACGCTCAAATAAGCCGGACCAGTTTGTTGTATTTGTACAATACGCTCATTCTCTTTTAGCGCTTTATTTGGTGGGGGTGGTGCTTTGATAGTGAGCACACCATCTGATGAAATTGTTGAGACAACATCCTTTGGATCATAATCCTTTGGTAATGTGTACTTGCGCACAAAATGACGTTGTATCAAACCATGACCATCTTCACGCTCTTCATGCTTACCCTCAATGACAACGGTATTGTCGAGAGTCTTAACAGTAAGTTCGTTGGGCTTGAATGAAGAAGTATCTATACATACTTGAAAACCATCTTTACCAATTACTGGTGCAATCGAAGTTTCTGCACCATGTTTACGAGCTGATAGACGTCTAGCAAGAGAATGATTACGATCATATGGCAAAAAACGACGTCTTGGATGCAAAAGTAATGAATTTTGACTCAAGCGTGGACGAAATATGTCAACTGGATGTAAACCAAAACCAAAATCATCATCTAATAGATGTTCCAATTCACCAAGTGGACGATACTCTGATTCAAGTTCACGTGCTAAATTTGCAAGCAGTGGTACAATAGCCATTTTGAATTTTTCTTCCTTTTTATGCTTTATTTATTTGTATTCAACCGGTTTTTTTTTTTATAATTTTGCACGGTATTTTTTTCACAAGTTTCTTTTTAATTTTAAATTCGTTAGAAAGTTTTTTTTCCTCGTACTAATAAGACGAACAGGAACTACAATTGGACAGATCCAAACACAACAAATGTTTAATACGAAATGACGCTGAATAAGAACCCCAAGGGTTTTTATACACAACTCGTACTAAGAGAATGAACTCGAATATTCGAGTTAGTTTACTCTTAACTCAAATATAACTCAATATTTATATTTTGAGCAAAAAGCTCTCACATTATTATTTAAAATATATTTACACAATTTCTATAAACATTTCTGAACAGTTATTTAAATTGTTATTATATTATTTACTATTATTAAGAAAAATGTAATAATTTAAAAAAATTGTTTAGTACTTACGTGGCTTTTTAAAGCGGGCGGCTTGTACTCTATGTACATCTTGTACTCTTTTTAAGTATTTTATAAAGCAAACTATTTTTGAGTAAACTTATTAAGCACACAAATTTGCAAAACACTCTTTCAGCACTCTCAAAAAAACAACTTCAGTAACTTCAATTATATGATTCTTTAAAAATACTCTGATTTTTTGCAAATATCAGAAGAAATAACTTCACAATTACTTTCAAATTAATTTTTATATAAACTTGCCACTGCTAATCACTGCACACACTTGTTATAAGAAAAATATAATTAACTGAACATGAAAGCATATAAATACTTGGTTCAAACAAGTTTATTTTTTACCGCTGAATATAAGAGGACGATTGGTAATCAAATTTTTGTTTTCAAATGTTGTCTCATATGCCTCTATCTCTCTCTTCAATTCATATATAAACTTTGTACAACTTTGCTGTTATTTCTTTAGTAGCAATCATAATTTTTTTTTTGGAAATACAAGTCTAGACTGATTATAATAAAACAAAAAAATTAACTGAATATCCAAACATATGAACATTTTACTAAAACAATATTTGTTTCCATTGCTGAATATAAGAGAAAGTAGAAATAAGAATACTCTTTCAAATGTTGGCTCTTAAGTTTCCATTTATGAAATTGAAAATGCTTCGTTTAAACAGTTTCGTTTTTACCGCTGAATATAAAAGAATGGTTGGTAATGAAATTATTGTTATCAAATGTTGTCTCATATTGTCATGTTCTCTCTCTCTTCAATCCATTTATGAAGTTTCTACAACTTTCTTGTAATTTCTTTAGAAACAATTACAAACATCTTTTTTTGTTAAAATTTTTTTATGTACAAATATACATCATATGTATATACGAATAAACTATTTTATGATTATTTTTGTAAAAGAATAATTAACGGAATAAATAATTATTGATAAAAAATTATACAATTTGTGTTTAATAAAAATTAAAAAATTATTATAAATCGAAAAAAAAATTAATTAAAAAATGTATGCACACATTTAAAATTTATAATAAATCAAATAATTTCTACTATCAGCTAAAAGTTTTTATCTTTGACAGAAAACATACATATGTATATACCATACATACTAATAAAAATTTATTGCACAATTTTTTAAGCATAAAATTAAAAATTATAAAATAAATATAATTATTTATAGTTGTAAATAATACAACTATTTTCATTCAATTAAAAATTTAGCCTTGAACTCGGAATGGGTAACATTTCATATAAAATAATATAAAAAAATAATTTATCTACACTGTTTATGTACATATGTATGTATGTAAGCAATTGAAAAGTGCCAGAGAGCTTACACTACAAAAACTCAATATGTAAAAAGAATATAGCGATAAAGAGTGGCAGAGAAGATAAGACGTAAATGCAATAAAATTTGCAATGTCAATGACCGTATGATGCAGATTTTCTTCTCTTGTAAATACATGCACGTAACTCTGAATTTATTAAAAAAAAATTTGTTAAAAAAAATTTATACAAAATATATTTAATTTACAAAATAATTCAATTCTATAACAATCTAGAAATTTAAATAAAATTTATATTCATTATTTGTTAATATTTTTTGCCTTTTAAAAATAACTTCATTTATCAATTGTCGTCCCTTTTCGCATGTTTTTCGAAACGGAATACACAGCTGCTGGGAGCAATAATTGCAAATTTTTTATTTTAATACATACGTATATAGGTACTTATGTACATTAAGTATTTTTTCATATGTTTATTCTTTGTACATGCATACATAGATATAAATGTATTTGTAAATTTCATTTGATAATATAGAGAAATTGACAATGAAACTTTTTTGAAGTTCAATATTAATATTATGAAGATTGATTGTATAGATAATTTTCATGTTGTATTAATATACATACATACATATACACCAGTGACGACGCGTGCCCTATCTGGAAGGGTGTGCGGCCCTTCTTTAATGTTGTTTTTACATGTACCACTTATATTAAAATATATGAGATCTTTTATTAATAATACTATATTATATAAGGCAACAATATATTCGCGCAATATTATATTAACAATTCATTAACAAAATAACATATTAAACAAATTAAATTAATAATTTATATACAAGTTTAATATTATATCAATATGGAAGAAACAAAACTTTTCACATAATTCTCGTAACATCAAACCAAATTTTTTCAAACAAAAGAGTTTGTACTTAGAAACATACATGTTTGTGCAGTGATCAAACAAAATCGAAACCACTTGCAATGTGCGCACAAGTACCCCGCACAATAAGAACAGAAATTCGTGGGTGCTGCTGTTAAAAGGGGAGAGACGAAATGTGATAAAAATGTATGGTGAGATGAGCTGCAAACTTCAGCCGCTCATGCAACCACTTTGGCAAATCATCATGTTGGATTCGTATGCATACAGTTGATATTCGAATAGAACAGAAAATTACTCTCATACAATTCCCACTATATAAATCTCTATTTCTGATATTACGAACGGGAGCACACGCACATTATTTTGTTCATATGTAACGTATGAATGTGCGGCCAACTTCTTTGCACACAAAGGGGAGAGACGAAATATAATAGAAATGTTCTGTGATTTGAGCTGCAAATATATGAGCACAACTAACAAGTATAGCGGCTAACAGAAGCAAATTAATTGAGTTTTCATAGACAATTATATTTAATTGTTTTTGCTAAAACTTTAAAAATATATATTTATATGGAAATGTAATAAATAATAATAATTCTTGATGTAAAGATACTTAATAAATTTATATACCTATGTTATTTAACATTTTGCAAATTATATTAGGGTGTTCACCGCACACCTCCGCACCTTAGAGCAGTCGTCACTGATATACACATATATGAATATTTTAATACTTACATCTGGCTTTAAGGAATAATTTTCCTACAGCCATCTTTTATGCGTACACAAATATTTATTATATTTAAATTTTTAAGGGTTTAAGATTCAAAGTACTTAGCGAGTGTTAAATACAAAGGTTAAGCATCAAAGCTTACGCTAGACTAAAACGCCATTTTGATATTTCCTTTATGAATTGCAAAAACAATTAAAAGAAACGAGTAATTTAATATCAGAATCTCGCTAGGAATAAAAAGGTAATATTATATGTTAATGTTTTTCAGAGTTGCCCTACCGTTCTTTTAATTTATCTATAAACTATGTACATACAAATGCTTGTAAATATACACGTTTGTGTGTAGAGACTTACAAATTATATTGTGTTATGATTTCTTTTTGCTCTTTAAAAAGAAATAATAATATAACAATAATATTACATTTATTGAACTGTTGAAATATTTATTTAGATATGTACGTATGTATGTATATGAATTTGATACACGGTATATATATGTATTATAAATTTATATATAAACATATATTTATACATATTTATATATTATTAAATACTGTATAATAAAATCAACAATTTTATAAAGTATGAAAGTTCCATACTTATTTTTATCCAGTTAGTACATCAGAACAGCTTAACTCAGTGCCATATGCTAGAAAAGGTATTTGTTCGAACCATGGAAATATTTTTAATAAATATTCACTAAATATAATATTTTTTTTTTATTAAATGTTTTTATATGAACTTCGAAATACTTTCAAACCAAAAATAATTAAGTCTGGTTTTATTTTAATAAAATTGGTTTTAATTTTATGGAGAGACTGTGATATATCACACATTTATGTACATATTCGATGTTAATTTTTAATTTAATTGTTGCCAATATTAAATATTGTCTATTATTTTTGTTTAACTTTAAAAATCAAGGAAAGTAGTTCAAGTTAAAAATAGCTCCAAAATTTTATTAAAACCCATTTTCAAAACGCAAAAATTTCATAAAAAACCATTTATAAAGTCCAAATATTTTATAAAACGCAATTACAACAGTTTATTACAGCTACTGTTGAGAGAGTTTTTAGATTATACAAACTTTTCCAACAAATTTATATTTCATTTCAATCTTCACAATATTAAAACACAAAAAAAATATTTTTTTATTTATTTATTTGAAAAACTTCTAATTTCATAAAAATCTACAAAAAAAGAAATTACCTAAATTAACAGACTATTATTTCTCTCATCGAGGTTAATAGGTTTAAACAATGCATGTAATAAAAAGAAAAAAAAAATTCTACAAAGATATATATGACTTCAAAAGTATTAACTGAATAAATATTTTATATTTATGTATTTAAATACTGAGTACATTTTAAGCTTTGGGTTCTTCCTTCTTCTTCTCGCCTTCAATTTCTTTAGGATTTTCCTTAACATTCAAATGAGCTGGACCAACTTGCTGAATTTGAACAACACGCTCATTACACTTGTCCTCTATTTGTGGCTTAGGAACACTAACTGTAAGTACACCATCAGATGACAAAGTTGAAATGACTTTTTCAGAATCATAACCCTTTGGTAAACCATAGCGGCGTATAAAATGACGAGTAATATAACCATGGTCATCCTCTCGTTCCTCATGTTTGCCTTCAATGATAATATGTTTATCCACAACTTTTACATTAAGTTCACTTGGCTTGAATTGTGCCACATCCATGCAAACTTGGAAACCATCCTTTCCAATTTTCGAGAGTTGACCAAATTTTGTGGTACCATGATGACTATGACGTGCGAGTTGGTTATTTGGTCTAATATAGGGACAGATGTCGTGCGAATTGTAATATGGCGTTACTGCACCAAGTGAGAAACGATCCAAATCATCGGCCAAATTGAACATCATTGGATAGAAAGCCATCTTCTTTCAAAATACTTTTATTTTATATACTTTTTCACAAGAATAATAATTTGGAATAATATCCACAATTAAACTCCTCAAATGCTACTCGTAAGCTTGTTAAAAAACAACTGATGCCAAGCGAACCGGCTCCCGTTATTTATACTGCCGGCAAATAATAGGTACTCCAACAAAACAAAACAAAAAAAACAACCCATATAGCTGCAACGTAGTGTTGTATAGCATATTCTAGAGAGTTCAGGAATATTTCTGTACATATGTGTGCTGCTGTGCGCTTTTAATGTGTTAATATGTATATAATGAAAGTAAGAGTGTTTGGCAAGCATTGCAAGAGAGCATTTTATATCTTGTTTCATTTAAAGATGATGCATATCGCATCAAAAAAAAATACTCTGAATTGTTATTAAATTTTCTCATTTTATTGCTAATATTGCTTATTAGTTTGTTGATAATTTATTGATAAATATTTTCATCATTATTAGATTGACAAAACCTTATACGAAGATATACAGAACTCTCTCGAAAGAGTGAGAATATAAACGAGAAACAATAAAAAACAATTCATGCAATATATAAGAAACATATGATAAATGCAAGGAAATGTCTATGTGTGTATATATAAACATATGTTATTAAGTAAGTTGTGTGTGTTAATACGTCTTAACTTTTGTGCTGTGTTACTATATGCAATTATAATATCGTATATTTATCGATCCAAAAAATTTGCTTGTAATATTTTACTTAAAAAACTTCCTGATATACTATGTACATATGTATACTTATATACAATTTTAAGCATATCGAAATAAACTTCACATAATTTTTCGCATATATGTATGTGAGTGTAAGATATGGTTATAAAATCTATTTTAAATACGAAATGCAATTATGACGAACCCAAGTCCAAAGGAAAAATGATATACATATGTAAATGAACTTTTAAGTATATAAGCATTCACAGTTTATTTTCGTTTATAAAGTTATATTATATACTTTGGTGCTCTATATATTCCAATTGGATTTCAATTGTTGTATTGCAATATTTTAAGAAACACAAAATTAAAAGGTTTATATATATACATACATATGGATATGTATATTGTTAATAGTTTAAAATTATCACATAATGACGTAGATCAATTATATTATTATACGAAACCTGTATATTTAATCCAGGGCTGTCCAGAGCAGATGCAACCGCGGACCAATACCAATCACTGTATAGATTGGGGGGTCACAGAAACAAATACATATGTATGTATGTACGTTCATAGTTGTTTTCGATAAAAATAAAAAAGGGTTATAATATTAAATTTAGTTTTATTAATTTATCAATTTAAATTCATTTACTTGGTATATCATAAAAATAAAATAATGTGGTTTTACCAGCACACTAAAAGAAAATTTGCTTAATTATAGTAAATGAAAAACATGTCACGGACCGCATAAACATTAGCCGCACGCCACATGGGACCCATGGGCCATGCTTTGGACAGCCCTGGTTTAATCGATATCGATTTGGTGACTGAAGCTGTTGTGGAGAGGAATCAAATACTTAAAGGCCATTTTAATTGTATATCAGTTGTGTCTTTCGTTTTAACCAATTTTTTTAAAGCTTAATAAAAACTTTTTAGATGATTACTTTAAATTAATTAGATACTTTTTAAAATACATATATTAAAGGGAGAATGTTCTTTCACAATGTTTAACACTCCAAAATTATTTTTTGTTGATTTTTTTTTGTTGTGGTGGATGGAAACATCAAACATCATTACGATAGCCCTCTTAGAAATGCGTTAGGAACACATTCCAGCTATTGGGCAGGACCGAAGAAGAGAATACAATATACAAGTGTAAGCAATTCTGGCGGGTTGTAACCCATACATAGACCTATTGGTACCTATCGATATCAGAGAGAGCTAACATTCCCTACAGGCATAATGAAATTTAGAGCAATATGATAATAAAAAGTGCTAACATAAAAAATAAATATTTTTCGGCGAATATAAATAACGCATATTGTACAAGTGATAACAATATTTACCTAAAAGACTGGTTAAAGACAGTATAATCTTCTTTTTTGCTGTCGTTTTTCTGTAAAAGGAACGAATCTTAAATTTTAAAAAAAGGAATTACTTTAAAAACCTAATCAAGCTATTTAAGGTGAGACAGAACAAAAGCAAATCAAACTAAAACAGAAAGAAATGTTATAGATGATGTATGAGGTAAAGTGGGAGAAAACGGCTGTCACATAAGTTTAACTGTAGACTCTACATGGTGCTCGCGGTTGTAAAGTAGAATCAGAGAAGTTATGGTTTCAACTTTATTGAGATACAGGGTATTTTGTCTTGGAACTTATGATTTGAAGCAAAATAGGTAGTACTATTTTACTGTATAGATCTACCTGAGGTATAATAGAGATGGACGTTATACCATCGAATAATATATCTTCAGCTCTATAGCGACTTCTCTTGGCTGAAAACCATATATCATTTAGAGACCTAGTTGTAGCCCAACATAATCCACAATATAGCTCCGGTCCACAGATGTGAATGGCAGTTCCTGACCTCGCAAGACTGTCGGCAGACTCATTACCTTTGATTGCTGTGTAACCAGGCACACAACATAGCATCTTTTCGGGCCAGTACTCTGGATATGAATTCATATGATGTAATATCAAAAGCTGATGTTTTCAATTTAGCTGACCAAATGATGCAGCGCGACCTCCGTAGATATGCCTTTTGAGTAGGGAACTCAAAAATAAAATCTTTGTTCAGCAAATCATTGCTTTATAAAGTACTAAACATTTTTCAATATCAAGATTATTAGTTATAGTCGATTGTTCTTTGAGGAATCCAATATATAATAGATTAGCGTTTCGCCTTCGAATATAAAATGGTATTTGGGCAAAATATGCTTATCAGAAAAAAAATTGCACTTTACTAAGTCTATTAGCATTAGTATGGTATTGTATGGAAAGTACGTAATTAGATATATCTTGTAAATCGTTATATCTTTTAAAATATATTTTTAATTCATTAAAATCTTTAACTAATTAACAATAACTTCTTTCAATAAATCTGATGTAAACATAACATAAATATTTTATTTATTTATACCTTCAATAGCGTTGAGAATTTGATTCATAAATATCTATTTGTATTAATTAATGCATATATTATTGCTAATATTATAATTTTTAATATCTCTAAAAAGTTTATGCATAAAATAAACACATACATATATACGTGCATACAAATAGCTTAAATCCAAAGGCTTCTAAGTATCTAATAGCAAATGTATACTTCTTACCTATCCCACTAGTTTTTTAGTTTCTCTCTAAAAACTACTATGCAAATATCATCAGCTATTGAAATTTGTAGCAGACAGAGATAGAGACAGAGACAGACAAAGCGAGCATGTTGCACTGTCAGCTGTAGAGTGTGTAGTAGCAAGCAACGAGGCGTGCAATTCCAATCAGACATCACTACTACGGCAAAAGCGTATGTAGAAATACTTGAGCGTATTGTGTGCGTGCAGGAAAACGGAGTTCCAATTCATTCCATTCTGTTATATTTACATACATATGATTTTCTGCGCATGCTTACATTCAAGAACTGCTGTGCTTCACGGTTCGACCAGCTGTTTTTTGTTGTTGTGCATTGAAAATATTTGCCGGTATCTCAGCTGTTCTTGTATTTGTGAGTAAATATAGGAAGCAAACCTGCAAAGACCGGTTATTCGCCGGTAAATTCGTTTTGTACGGGGCATTGTGGTACATATTCGTTGCTATTTTATGTTTTCATATTGCCTGGAAAAGTTTAATGGTTTTGTTTTTTTGCAAAAATTTATACAGACTTGCTTATATTTTTAAATATATATACATACATACATTCATACATACAAGAAGTTATTTTTAATTACCCTTTTGTAGATACTTTTAAACATTTGTACAATTTAATAATAATATATCGAGGTGGGGAAATATCTGCATATGAGGCGAATAGCTACAATGAACAAAAATGTACTTGTTGGTGTGAATAAGTAAATCTGTTTCAATGCCACTTTTCTCTGCCGCAAAGGTTGCTCACTACGTTGCACTGCAAACATGCGTTTAGTTCAACTCCATAGTATCGATTTTCTACCTAAACGTAGCAGCATCTGCATACGATTCTACATTGTTTGTGTGATTGTTAGATTGTTGGATTGTAAATAAAAAAATGCAACATTATAAGCGGATATTACTAGGAGCAGAGTAAGACTTCCATTGGATTTTCCATTCAGCACTGTCAACTGGTTTAAAAGGCGAAAATTCAGCAATTTACCATCATATGAAAACCAGTTAGAACGCGTATCGGGCGTGTGTTGGCAACGGATAACGCGTCGATTGCATTCAAACGGGTTCACATTGCACTTTTACATTTAAAGCAAGCAAATACTCTTTTCATATATAATCTCAATTAATAAATAAATAATTGCAAAACAAAAAAAAAAAGCACCATTATGTCATTAATACCATTTATAATGGATTTGGCTGATGAGCTACATGAAATTAATCGCTGCTTTGGTACCGGTGATGTTAGTGATGACTTTTGCTTCGGTATCTATCCCCATGACGTACACCAACAGCAATGTGTACAACAAAATCATCAATTACGTCGTCCTCGCACTATTTCCCAATACTGTTGTCTGCCCAGCACAAAGCAGCGTCACCATCCTTACAATCGCAATAAATTTTGCTGTGGAAAGTCTGCTGTAGCTCAATTAAACGACAGTGAAAAGGAAATTAATATTGTTGGTGATAAAGATATATCACAGTCAGCTAAATCGGCATATTCTGTAGTTAATAAAAATGGATTTCAAGTAAGCATGAATGTGAAGCAGTTTTCACCAAATGAGTTAACTGTTAAGACAATCGATAATTGCATTATTGTCGAGGGACGTCATGAAGAGAAGGAGGATGGACATGGTGTTATCTCACGACATTTTATACGAAAATATATGCTACCGAAAGGTTACGATCCTAACGAAGTGCTTTCGACTTTATCTTCGGATGGTATACTTACGGTGAAGGCACCACCACCAGCACCAACAAAAAGTAATGAACCCTTAGAACGCATCAT